AGAGAGAGGGAGAGCTTCGTTGGCGTGTTGTGGCCTACCCTACTCGCGCCCAGAAAATCTGGCGTGTGCCTTCGAAAACGGTATTCCTTCCGCTATCTGCGTCGTGTGCCTGAGACAATCACAATCAACACCTCGCACCAGCAGTAGGTCCAAAAGCAGTTCAAAAACAGTGTATATGATTACGGGGGGGTGTCTCCCGGATGCATTGACAGCCAACTCCGGGCATATGGACACAAGGACACACGCGAACGCTGCCATCCACACCACGTTGTGTTCCTGCAAAACGTGCTGTATGCTGGAATTACAGGTGGAGGCCAATTACACCGCCTTCGCAGACTTTTCCGAGAGACGTTTTTCCTCACCGTTCCGACCTTAACTTTACTCCGGAAGCTTCTCCGTAAGTTACTGCCAGCACGTGATGCACTTGCACACACAGGAATGCTGTTATTGTGCCTAGGGGAGGATGGGGGGGGGGGCGACAGGAGGCAGGTCGGTGTGGAGGGCAGTGAGAGCCTGGGGGATCCGCAAACGGTAAATGGCGTTGAAGTGGGGAGGTGTGTTGCACCGCAGCTGACAGTCCCGCCGCCGCAGGCCGTGGGAGATGCACGATCACGACGACACCGCACGACGACCCACAGCCCATCGATCTCTTTCTCTCAGCAATATTACAGAGCGAGACGAGAATCGGCACGCGCTCGCTGTCGATGTGTGCTTAAATATATCGACCATTTCTACAGAAGAACAGCGGCGCAGTACTGCAGCAGTACTCGACGCAAGCCGTTGCGCCGCATTGCATAGGGGACCAGGTCTTGGAGGAGAGCTCGTGACGATCCAGATGAACACGGCAAAGGCGTAGGTGTTGATGGAAGTGGATCAACATGACGACCCTTACCCGCAAGCAGTGGTGCTATCACAGACATGCTGGGAGTACAAAACGCTCCTTGATCAAGAATCGGCACCGCCGCAGAGGAGGCAGCCAGAGCACGGCAAGAGGGACGAGTCCCGAAAGTCGATTGCACTAGGAACACCACCCAGCGAACCACGATGGGCGAAGAAGGCCAAGACAAGCGCGTCATCAAGTGTGAGAGAGCCGTGGTGTGCTGGAATGGCACCCCTCGCGACCCTTCGTCAGGCGGGCAAGGGCGAGACCAGCAAGGGCGTTGGGTCCTGGGACATCTTCGTGCTTGTGTTGCAGGCTAGCGGCCTTGAGCAGGTCACCTCCAAGAGAGGTTCCGAGGTCGACTTCGGCACTCTGCTCGTCGCAGACCAAAGCCTTTCTTTTTTCCGGTTGACGCTGTGGGGGAGAACGGCGAGAGCAGGCGGGAGGCTGGTCCGGGCAGGAGATCTTGTCCGTTTCAACGGGTGAGTGGGCAAAGCGGGGGAAGTTTACGTTTTGCTACACTCCACACGATGATGTTTGCTTGTTGTTTCGGGTGTCGGGCGTTGCTTCTTGTGAACATTTGCTTTGGTAGTGACCTAGATGAGTTGACCTGCTGCCGTATCATGACAGACAACCCACAGGCAGCACCGCAATGGCTAGCGCAAGAGCGCACGGTGAATACTGCGGCCTAACACCCTATCGTGGGTGTGGTGAGATTTGGCAGCGCGGGACGCGTCCGACAACTGCTTACGCTCAAAACTTGCTTTGATCAGCATTGCTCGCTTGATGGCCCCTGGAATGGGCGAAACGCTCTGACTGCGGTGCTGGTCCATATTCATCGTTTTCCTCATGCAACCGTCCAAGCACAGCCGGTTCTTCCGTGCAGAGCCTGAACTCGATTTTTAAGTCCTTTCATTTTGTCGGCGAAACGCCTCTTCTACAATCAGGTTTTCATAAACGAGCGCAAGGGGTGTTTTTCCTCTCTGGCAACCGCACGAGAGTTGTTCTTATATTTGGCAAGAGGGGAAAAGCGTTACCCTTGCTGTAATGGCCAGAGACACTTCGGGCAGGCCAATCCTCAACATAGTCAACGTCGGCACAGGTGTGCATACGTTACAGCATTCGGCTTTAAACGCTACACATCTCCTTGTTGTGCGCGTACGTGGTCGAAAATCATATCCCCTCCCCCCATCGTTTCCCCTTCCCCTCCTACCGCATGTGGTAGAATCGGCGTGAGCTCGTTTCAAGGCACGGTCCAGGCGTGCTCCACCCGAAAGACCAGCTTCCGAGTCGTTTGGCGGGGCGACGCCTTCACCACCCCGCAAGAAGCCCCGAGCACCACCATGCTGCCCCTGGGGCGGCCGCCCCCCGCCAGCGAGCGCTCCCCGCTCTCACAAGGCGGCGACCTCGCCGTCTCGCGAGAAGCGGCATGCGCCCTGGCCGCCTGGGCGAAGACCGAGTTCCCTTCCATCACGTCACCGGAACCCCCCCGCGGCGGCGGCGGCGGCGGCGGCGGGCAACACCTGTGTAACCGACACGCCGCCGCCCCCGGGGTGTCGCCGTTGATGGAGGAGGAGGGAGGTGTCGGTGCCGATTCTGGCGATGCTGCTGCTGCTGGCGATGCTGCTTTTCGCCCTGGGTCGCTGGGCGCCGCGAGAAACGGAGTGGGGACCACGGTGCGAGCTTGCGTGGTTGAGGTTTCCGAGGTGGAGCGGCTGTGGATGTGGGAGTCCGCGGGAGGTGAGACAGATACGTATAGGATGGTGTCGCACGTGCTGCTGCGGCTGTTGTTGCTGCTGATGCTGCCGTGAGAGTTGACATTGTGTCAGAAAACGTGCGGCGTTGTTGCGCTGCAGCTATGAAAGTACCGGGTGCCAAGTGGATCGTCGTCCTTCCCTCTTGTGCTCCATTTGCTAGAAGGGGGGGGGGTTCGAAGCCGGGAAGCTGTTGGAGGTAGTGAGCCGTTCCGTGCCGTGACTTACGCTGTCGAGAAGAACGCGTGGTAAGGACGACCAGCAGTAGTACTACAGATGGACTGCTACTAAGAATATAATGCGAAGTTTGGGTGACGTTGTCGCGAGATGTTTGTTCCTCTCTGCGCTGGCTCTGTCTTCGAGCCAACGCAAACTCGAAAAACGACCCTATCATTCGTTTTTAGGGTTAGAGTATCGTCCCAAGCTTGCCCTAAACGCCTCGATGAAAAACAACCAGCCGAACCCCTGTATGTATTTTTTTTCACGTGGCGGAAAGGAAAACGTAGGAAAGACCTCGTCTCGAGAGCTACCGCGCTGCTCACCGACGGCCGGCACGAGATGACGCTTCAGCTCTGGGGCGACATGGCCTCCGACGAAACCATCGACAGCTTGAGGGGAAGAGCCATCGCCGCCGGGAAGAACGACGTCTCGGCTCATGACAGGACGATGGAACGACCCGCGGTTTTCGAATTCACCCGCCTGCAGCCGTCGTTCAGCTTCTCGTGCGAGACTCTGGTCCTCAACGGTAAGAGCGGCACCGTGACGCAGATGGACCGCGGTTCTGCGGAGGCGGTTTCCGTGTCAACAGCAGTGCTGGCCTCTGCTGCTGCTGCTGCTGCCGGCGAGGGAGACGAGAGAGCTCCGGTGTCGCTTGCCACGGCGAAGAGCTCGTGCGCGGGATCCCCGTCTTTCCTCGCTCAAGGGGCCGGGGCACCGGCATCCGCTCGGAGGTTCGAGTCCGTCGCCGCCCTCATGAGCGCCGACGGCTTTTCCGGGGCGGGGTACCTCGATAACGTCGTAGTCCGAAAAGTTTGCGCCCCGTGGCTGTCGGCTGCGGGGTCACCCGATGAGCACGGCCGCGCCGCGAGTCTACCGTCTCTCGGTGGTGTTGCTCCGCCCGTGGTTATTTACTTGGGCGACCTTGATGAACCAGTCCCAGCGGCGGCGGCGGCGGCGGCAGGGACGTGCGATGCTTGGTCGGCGGGCGTTGAGGCCGTCGTGGGGGTGACGGCGGACGGCGGGGCTTTGCACGAGCTGTTGGGCGGCGTCCCCCTCGATCTCCTCGCTGTTGGAAGCGGCAGAGGCAGCCGTCGGGGGATGGCTGGCGACGTCGGTAGGGGAGTGGTGCAGTGTCTGCTCGATGGGCTGGAGGTCGGGGGTCGCCGAGGGGAGCGTGTAGACGTAGCGCTGGCTTGTTCGGCGTCTGCAGACGAAAACGGCAGGTTCATTCCCGGGGGCAGCTCGTACCGCCTCATAAGCCTCCTCCCGAAATACGAGTGGGTCCCAGGGCCTGATTATTGAGAATCGGGGTGGGGAATGCCGGGGCCCCGGGCGTGTGTGTATCATAGTAATCTCGATGGCGTGGTACGCTATCGGTGCTACGAAAGCCGGGACACATCTTGGTGTCCAGCGAGATGTGTGTTATGTAGCGCGTTTGAGCTACAAGTATCACGCGCTATGAAGAGTTGGTGTTGGAGACGCCGTGAAGTAAAGAGAACGGTGTGATATCTTCGGTGTTGATCATAACTGGTGACCCGCGGACGGTCGTAAGTAAGGCGTGCTAAGGTGTGGGGTGCTGGACCGATTCCATGTTGCCTTTCTTTGCCCTCAAGTTGCAGTATCTGTGTCCTCCATCTATTTGACGATCGCTTCTGAACTTGAATTCTAACCACCTGCCCTGCGCGCCGGATTCCTCCCGCCCAGAGACCAATATTTTGTCACATGTTGAAAACTGGCGTCCAGCTGAAACGCTCAACAGTTCCGATTTCGACATGAATTTTGGTAGGCATACACCATGATGGTGAAAGAGGGGACAGGCGAGGGGTGGATCAGTGTGAGGACAAACACAAAACGCGTAATTGCGTTGCAAGCCGTTTTCAGCTTGTTATCCGCTCGTCTTTCGTGTTTCTGCATAAAACGGCGGAAACGCACACGAGCAATATGGATGCCCGAAGGTAGTGAGCAGAGATCGGAACGGTTTTGAGGGTGTCAAGACAAAAACAAGAGCAACAAAAACAACAGTTCAGAATCGGGTCTCAGTTTTCTGTTCACCCTTTTTTTTTACCAAGGTTGATCGACGCGACCCCGTTGCCTGCTTGTTGTTGTCCAAGCGCGGCAGCTTCGAGCCTTTTCTGGTGCGCTTGCCAAAAAAGACAAACGGCTGCTGCTCGGCGCGTATCACAGCTCAGCGGGCGATGGTTGTTTCGCTGTCACTAAAACCAACGGCGGATGGATTATTGAGTGTGATCGGGAGCATCTGCTGTTGCGTATACACTCCTTCCGTCCCAACTGTGGCATCTGCCCGAGTCCACCGCCCAACGACTCTCGGTGAAAGTTGGTTGCTTTTCCTACCATCACGCTGCCCGAACGAGAGAAATCCCCATGTTGTAGCAAGATGGATGCGCTCCCGCGCGCGAACCCTAACAGCAATACTTTCATTACATCGATATTGACATTGACAGATACACGCGCATGAGAGCCGCCCGAACTACAACAGCGCATGCATAGCTCGTACTATGTCTGGCCGACCATAAAACATGTCACCACCACACGGTTCAAAAAACCAAGTACAACACGCGACGCTTGCACCCCATGCACTACACGGTTTGAAACCTCCAATCCGCGCGGCGTGTATCGAATGCCCCTACATTTTCACCGTGGAACACTACAACAGGCCGTGCGCGACAGAGACATGTGTCAATGCCCTCCCCATCTACCTTGTACCTCGACCTGAAAAATGTGCTGGAATGCATCTACGTACGACTCAACCGACGGAACATGTATCCCAAGGCTTGAGGAAGCGAAGGCGACGTTGACTGGCGTGGTGCTCGCGCCCACCCCCGGGAGGAGTCTACGGCCTCGTCACCCTTCGCATTCCACAAACCTTGAAAGCGAAAAAGATAGTACACCATGTCGAGCCTCGCAAACCTTGTTTTCTACGTCATGCTCAAGCCGAGCGCCCGCCTGATCAGACCCCCATCAATGAAACACCTTCGCGCGCCCCTGCGCACCCAACACCTGGCCTGTTTTACGGCCCCAAACGACATATTATAAATGCAGGTAGCGCTACTCGGCACTGACTTGATTCCCTCCCACACGCACCCCCTCCCCAAAAGCACATGTTACGGCACAAGGCGGGAATTTCAGCGGCATCATACCCCGCTGTACGTGTTCTCTTGGTGTTCTCCTTTCTATTTATCGTCGTGAACTAAATGCAATCCCCTATCGCCCCGCGTGGCAATGCTTTGCACATGTAAGGCAAAACGTCACTTCTACCAACTACGTATACCAAGAAAAAACTACGTGTACCCACTAAAGACAACAACCTCCTCTACTGCTTCCGCTTCTGCGGGAGAGACAACGCTACCAGCGAACGATCTTTAACTCTCTTTCCGAACAACCCCGCATCACGCTATGGGAACACAAGACGTTAACTTGCGAATCAACAAATACACAACTGGTACACTCCACCGTGCAGCTGGCTGCCCCTACTGCCCGACAACTAGCTAGAGCTATGACTGTTGCCGGATGCAACGATCAAGTCGACGACGAGAGTGGGCACCGCGTGGCGCCCGCATGCGCGCGCACCTCGATGTCGCCACTCGACGAAATCAAAATCCACCCAACTGCAGTACCATCAAACAAAAGTCGACGCACTCGCGAAACGCGCGTGCCAAAATCCAAGAGACACCATCCCGCTACCGTCCCAGGCCGTACCCTGTTCACGGCTTGAGACCACCGCTGTCCGTCCCAGCCGACAACACGTCTTCCCTTGTTCTTTGTGTTCCATGGCACTGAGTAATGTTTTGGCGCCCCCCGAACACTCCTGACGCTCGTTCAACACCCGCTGTTAATAACTTCCGATTCGACTCTGCCAGGCGGACTCGCCGAAAAAAACAAAACATACAAACCCTAGGTAAAAATATTCCTCTTTGTCACCATTCCGTGTCTACAGCCGGCGACGACCCACCCCCGTCGGAGAACGCCGCGCTCGCTTTCCGCTTCCCGCCGGCGGTATTGTTTGGGCTCGGACTCGCGCTCGCGGGTGCATCGCTCGCGTTACTGCTGGAATGCCCCGCGGCGGCGGCGGCGGCCGTGCTGTTGTTGCTGTTCGTGTTCGATGGGAGCCAAGGAAGCGTGTGGAGCGGCAGCCATTGGTTCTCCCCCGCCGCCGGCAAGGCATCCCCACTCCCCCCATCTCCTCCGGATTCCGCGGGGGCTCTTGTACCCCCCCCCCCCCTGCTAGGTGGCGCGCCCTCTGCGNCCGCCGGCGGTATTGTTTGGGCTCGGACTCGCGCTCGCGGGTGCATCGCTCGCGTTACTGCTGGAATGCCCCGCGGCGGCGGCGGCGGCCGTGCTGTTGTTGCTGTTCGTGTTCGATGGGAGCCAAGGAAGCGTGTGGAGCGGCAGCCATTGGTTCTCCCCCGCCGCCGGCAAGGCATCCCCACTCCCCCCATCTCCTCCGGATTCCGCGGGGGCTCTTGTACCCCCCCCCCCGCTGCTAGGTGGCGCGCCCTCTGCGCCGGCGGCGGGACCGGGGGCGGCCGGCGGCGGGACCGGCGTTGTGGCGGTCTGTGCTGGTGCCTGCGCCAGTGCAGACGTCACTGGCTGGGAAGGAACAGGAGGGGCGCTCGTGGCACGCTCCTGCCCCGTGTTGGAATTGGGATTAGAGCTAGTCGCACCCCTCCCGCCGTCCCCGCTGGCCCCCCATGCGTTGGACACCTCTCCGTTGAGGGTCCCTTCCCGGTGCAGATCCCGAAGGACCCCCGCCGCCACGGGAGGGACTCCCACGGACCCCGCGCGGAGGGCCTCGCCCTCCGCGTGGCCGGCAGCCGCGTGCGAACGGGCTGTCTCGGGGTTTACGGGCGTGCTGGCGTTGGTGCTGTTAGCGTCGGCGGTGTTGTTGGCGGCGGTGTTGTTGGGGACGGCGGCGGCGGCGGCGGCGGCGGCGGTTGTGGTGGTGGTAGTGGGGGTGAGGGTAGCTGTGGAATGTAGAGTGTTTTGGTTGGTGGTAGTGGTGACGCTGACGTTTTTGCTGTTGTTGGTGCTGCTGGTGCTGGTGCTGGTGCTGGTGCTGCTGACGCTGTTACTGTTGATGCTACCGCTGTTCACCCCGATCGCTGCCACTGCTCTGCGGGCCACAAAGTCGTCGTAGACTAGGCGCAAGGAAGAACCCAGCGGCATTGGGACGAGCCCCAAGTGGCTCAGGGCAGCCGCGGCTTCTTCCAGCAGTGCCCGTGATTCGTTTTTCCCCTGGAGCGTCTCCCAGCAACGCAGCGACCACCGGAATTTGAGCATCTGCCAACAGAGAGTGTGCGATCGATGTCCCGTCGTCAGGGGGTGGCTATTGTAGTCGGCGATAGGCCAAAACCAGAAATGTGACATTTGAGTAAGGTACGGCCATTCTTTCTAGGGTGTTATCATGATACATCGTCAGGAGGTGATGAGCGGCCGATAGACCCAAAACAGAAATTGTGTCACAAGGTATGGCCATTTCTTCTGCTGCAGCAGCAAGTCTTCTCAAGCATATTCCCACCGATACAACGTGACGTTCCTTCACGGTACGCCACGGTACGGTACAGTGCAGTACGGTACGGTGCGGCACACACACCGGTTATTTGCCACGGCATACACCATAAGCAGCCAGGTCAGCATGACAGCGGTGGACAGAAAAAGGTACACCTCTCGCCACCAAGTTCGACCAGGCCTGTTTGCCGCTTGTCTCACATCTGCCGGCATGATCTCCGCCAAGAAGTCGAGGTATCCCGGGACCTGCCGCATCTCCACGAGCACCGAGTCCGCGGCGCCCGGCAGCGGCTCCGCGCGAAGCTCCCATAGCATCTGGCAGAACAGGTTTGAGGTTGTACCGGGCAAAGCACGAACGGTGGCGGCAGAGTTGAGGGACTCGGGATCGAGATTGTGGGGCGTGAAAATGACGGTTTGCGTCGACGCGCGATGTATCATGTTGCCGAGGTATAACCAAGGTGAAATGCGCGACGGAGCTGACCTCCCGAGTTCGAGGTTGGCAATCCGGTGCCGCAACGAGAAAAAGCAAGCGCAACAAAAAAAGACGAAAACAGTAAAACAGCAACAAAAAAGCAAGCCACACAAAAAGCGAGGGTTATTATAGGCGAAAATGTACACGAAAAAAAAACGCTCGAGAAGTCGAGCCGGGGATGCTGCGGCCACGCAGACAAGAACCGGCCAGAGCCGACACACAGACGCACCTTCACCGGGACACTCCGAGGACGCTTGGGGTCCATCATGCCCAGGAAGTAAGGGGGCAGCGTGACTCCCCACCCTGGCTGAAGCACAAGGACGGGCGGCGAATCGACCCTCGCCGCCGCACCACCTGGCGCCGCGGCTGGCGCCACGCCCGCTGGCGCCACCGGCATCGCCGCGGGCGCAGCCGCGGGGGGGGGGGGCGGCGCCACAGAATGCCCTCTGGCGCCCCCCCCCACGCTGGCACCGGCATCATTGGCACCCCAGATCCCTTCGGGGCCGAACGCGGGTGCCCGCCGGTAGCCCATCTGTGTCAAGATCTCGGGAGCGGCGGCGCTAAGCGCGTTGTGGTCGTGGAACGGCGGCGGCGGCGGGGCGGCGGCGGCGGGGGCGGCGGCAGCCGTGGCCCCACCGTTCGCCACGCCCGGGGCTTGCGAGACAAACGGCATCTGGTGATGATGGTGCTGCTGCTGCTGCTGCTGCTGCTGCTGCTGCTGCTGCTGCTGCTGCTGCTGCAAGCGGTCGTTCGGGTCGTGCGAAGGGGTCGGCATGCCGCCCGGGGGAAGCATCGACATGGCGGCTCGGATGATCGCGCCGCCGTTGTTGAAGCCAGCAGAAGGCGGCCCCACGAACCCCACGCTGCTCCCATTCTCCAGCGGCGGCGGCTTTCCGAAGGGAGCTCCGGGGGATGCGCCGGTAGCGGTGAGGGCATCGTGTTGCCCGTGGCCAGGGAGCCCCGGTGGTGGTGGCGCTCGGCCGTGTACCCCCGGAGCAGCGGGCATCGCCACTGGTGGGTCTCCGTTTCGCCATGGCATCAAGCCCGGTGTCGACGTTGGTGGTTGTTGTTGCTGCTGGAGCAGCAGCTGCTGCTGCTGCTGCTGCGATGGCGGCAGCGGCGGCAGTTGCGGCAGCGGCGCGGACTTGCGGCGAGACGCGCTTGACGACTTGACGGAGAGGAGGCGGCCGTTGCCGTTTGCTTGCGCCTGCTCGTCAAGGGCACACGGGACAACGCGACATGTCGGCGCGAAAAAGGATTCATCGGGAAAAAACACCAGTCCATCACGGAATGCTACCACTCGCGAGGGGCGAGTTACCACGCCCTATCCCTACGGCAGAGCACCAGGTGCTCAAGGCGGTTGTAGCCCCAAAAACACAAGCGAGATAGAAGTACGGCCTAAGAACAACAACTCACCAGCATGCTCTTCGACGTCGCATACGCGGCGCGACGCACCCTGTTGCGACACATGCCCACGAGCTTCACCACCCGCTCGTGGAAGGCCACGAAGTCGTCGATGTCGCCCCGCTCGAGCAGCTTGTGAGCGTTGGCCGCCACCCCGATGAATCGCGCGAAAGCTGCGTCGCCGCCGGCCAGGAAGTGCATCCCGCCGTCCTACACCCCCATGCAACATGTTCCCAGGGCAGCAAAAACGTACTTCAATAAAGCGACGGAATACATACACATCCATCCCATCGAGCGAGGTATGCACCGGCGTTGCAACCGCAAGCGCAACGCGGAACAAAGCGTAAGCCGCTGGCGCTGCACGCCTGCCATGCAGGTCGTCGTGCCTTAGCGTAGCGACTTACACGAGGGATAGTTTCCCTATATGCAGGGAATGCTGTGGGTGATGACCTGCATCAACAGGTTGGCAACGTTTGGCATCATCGCACCTACTTACAGAAACAAATACGCGGTCGGTATGGCGTACCGCGACGTTGTGTGGCATTGCATTAACCAAACCACTTTCAGCGAGACACCGGTAGACAGGTCTTGTCACGGGGGCAGAAAACGAAACTGTCGTCGGCATGCAGTGCTGAACGATATGGTGCGCATAGCAAGCGCTGCTTGCGGTGCTGCGCACGTGCTACAAGGCAAAAGCGGCCAATTTAACACCGCACGATCTCGTTATCACATCTACCAGCGGCAGCTGAAAAACAACAGCCAGAGGCCACAGCCGCAGCCGTAGCAGCAGCAGCAGCAGCAGCAGCAGCAGCAGCAGCAGCACTGATAGACTCACCTCAAACCGGCTGACGAGGATCTTGCGGATCTCCGGCAGATCCTCCTGCTTCAGCAGGCCCTTGGCGATGCCGCTCGCCACGAGGCGGCACGACAGCTGCCTCAGCTCGTTCAAGATGCGTGGAGGCTGGTTCTCCGCTGCCCTCGGCAGGACGTTGTTGTGGAACTCTTCCTTAGTGTACTTGGACGGGGGCTGCCAAAGACAATAGCCCACGGTACACACACAACGAACGGCGAGCAAGTCACGACGTGGAAGTCAAGCCGCAGATGTGTGCGGGGTGGGGGCGGGGAAGGAAGGAGCCACCATGCACCAACTCCAACACAGAGCTGCCAGGGCAACCTTGTGTGCATCTTCATTGCACATTCGTAGACTCCCGAAGCGCATCGAAACACCGCCGTCGCCGAGAAATAAAAGAGGATCAAATGAAAGCTTGGAACGTGAGACCAGAGATGTTTCGTCAAGAGAGCCGAGAAACACAGCACTTTTTGATTCTGACTGCTGCACTGACTGCTGCATATGTTGAGAAAGCCATCCTCTTTCATGTGCTGTCACCTCGCGGCCATCACCGTCCACTGCCGACACCTTGCCTCCCGTCCCGCAGTGTACCACGTAGCCTGCCAGCTTGATGGCCGTCACGAGGTTGCGGCTCGGGGCGTTGCTGGAGCCGTTCACATACTCGGCCGGGTTGTCGTTCGGCGGAAGGGTCTTGCAAAGAAGCGCCGCCTTTATCCGCTTCCCCAGGCTGTCAAAAGGTTGTGCCGACAGCGAGAGGCACAGATAGTAGTGCGGCAAACCGGGGCGAAACAAACGTCGGCGAGGCAAAGCTTTAGGGGCTACGGTTACAAGCGGGGGCAGCACACGGCGCCCAACAAGCGTGATACAGACATACAGGTGCGTTGCACCGTAAGTGGCGGCGGCGTCATGGTAACATTATGCGCCCACTTTTTATTCCCGCCATGCCGCTGTAAATCTGTGAGTGTAATGCTGTATGCAGCTCTTCAGGCTGGCCTGTGCGTCGTGGCTAAGGTGTGTACGCCCGTCGACCGCCTCGGCTGTGCTGGACAACCTGCTGCTAGCAGCCATCTAGCTCGGGCGCGGAGAGTAACAGCAGCATTAGTGCACTCCTACCACGTAAACGCCCGACCGGCTCATAAAAAAGCAGCATGGAAAAAACTGTCGTGAAAAGCACACATTCACACAAACCTGTCCATGCAGAACATTGGCTTCTCTCTGTGAAGCTTGTGAGACGTGTCGTGTCTAGCGTTCTTGGCCTCGATGGCCTGCCACGCCTCTGCCATTCTCTCCATGATCTCCACCTCCACCTTTTTTGCGGTATTCATGTAAACACACAAAAAAAAAAAAGTTGCGAACGTCACACTAGAATATCTCGCACATTGTGTCGTCAGAGGACCTGTCGAGATCAGCGCTGTGTGTGGGTGTCCTTTTTTGTCCTTCTACAGGGATGATTCCGAAGAAGGGTTGGATCTTCAACATCAACCGCAAGTTTTCAGGGCGCATTTCGTTTCTATTGAAGTAGAAATTAAACCCGGAGTTGAAAATCCTTGCCATACTCTTTCATTTCTCTAGAAATCGTATATATTTTCGAGAATATCGAGGCAAAATGCATGTTTTGCAGCAAGCGGGAACGCATGTACTGCTTGTAGTGACCCCCATCGACAATGATATTTCAGGACCGCTGTGAATGACAACAGCTAAAAAAAATTGAATTTTGCACCTCCCTCTCGAGGACTTAAACGCATTTTTTTAGTCTGCTCTCACGGAGCGAGACGAACGGCATCGGGGAGCTGTATTTCATTCAGCCATTTCACAGCAGTGGGGGGGACGACGGGACTGGGAAAACGTGGGACTTCGCTTTGAACTCATTTTTGTGCAGCTGATTCTCAGAAAGTCTCGAAATCTACGCGGTCTGTACATGAGGCCGGTCCTCTTGGAAGAATATTGGTATTTCCGTTGATGATCTTCTCTCTCGCGTACTGTCGTTAGAAGTATGTTTTTCTCAAACGCGTAAACGGGTGCCACCATGTACAACACATATCATCTCCACAGATGAACGAACACGGAGACTTCAGATTGTAGTCTAGTCTAAAGTATTATATAGTCTAAATGGACGCGTAAATTTGATTGAGTAGTCTAGACTAGATGCTACACTGGTGAACAGCAGTAGTACACTCCGTAGCACCAATCCACGATCAACACTAATTTTTCAGCTAACCATTTCACCTGCATCAAACAAACACCGCATGGAGGCAGGCAGACGGAAAACGAGCCCCTCTCTGCTGGTGCAGCACAACATGCCCGCAGCAGTAGCGGTTCGTGCAGACTACTAAAAAAAATACCGTCGGAACATGTCGACGTAAAGACAGCAGGATAGAATCAGTATACATTTGAAATATATTGCGCACACATACACATGTGGATTACTCACATCGTCTTCCTGTGGCTTGTTTCCCCCGCCGGGGGCCTTGAGGCTAGCGACGATGTCCTTGCTCCGCTCGAACAGCGCGTCCACCTCCTCGAGCAGAGGCGACAAGGTATCCTGCAGCAGCAGGGCGCCCGTGGCTCCGCTCGCCTTGCTGCTGCTGGGCACCCCGCCGCCGCCGCCGCCGCCGCCGCCGGAGCCGGACAGGTTCCTGCCGCCGCCGTCGAACCCATTCGCGGAAGTCTCCGTGGGAGACGCATGTCGGCCGCGCCTGCTGCTGATGCCGGTGGAGGCGGCGCTGCTGCTGTTGTTGTCCTGCTGCTGCTGCACCTCGGAGCCGTTTCTCGACCCTCGACTGTTCTCGTAGTCCCGCGCGTCGTTGACGGCCAAGGACAGTCCGGAGAAGCTCGGCAGCGCGCGGGCCTGCGGTTGTTGGTTCATTCTTTTTTCGCCGCGCCGCTCTTGGGTGCGTTGTGGCCTCTACGATTGTTACTGTCTCTCCCCCTCTCGAGATCCTCTCCGCGCGGAGAGCGCAATTTTCCGCTCCGTGCTCACACGCACGCGAAATATGCGGAGAGAGTGCGTGGACCAGGCAGATCGCGAGTACCCTAGCCCCGGCCCCGCTACCCAGCCCCCAGCCTTAGCCCTCGCCCTCGCCGACTACCCACGGGGATGAAGATTGTTTTTTGGGAGAGAGCGGTTCACCCTCCTATCTACGTATTTTTGCACCACGCTAAAATCGAGCGCGCCGGCTTCTCCGTAGACCCAAATGACACGGCCCATCAACAGACAAAAAAGCCTCTACAGCGAAGATCGGGGGCAGGGGACACAACCCAAAAAAAAGTCCTGCCGCGTGCCGCCGCCCAATTGCGCCGAACGGCGCCGAACGCCGCGCCGTCTTTCGTACGGAGCCTACACCGCACCGCATTGCCTGTCGTCGTAGAGGCGGAACGTATACCCGTTGCCTTGCGAACGAACAATCTATTATACGTATTATATACGTACCGTAGGGGCAGTGAAATCTCTTGAAATGGTAGCGGTCTCTTATTGTTTGGAGGAAGAATTGATGAGGCCGATGTGAGACATTTAGTCTACCGTGCGGAGAGTGTCGCTTAGTCTGCAGGACCTCCTGTAGTAGGCATTTCCTGCACACCTGATGATCAATCAAGCGTTCGCCTCATCAACGTAGGTTTTCGAAAGGACTGGAGGGAGGGAGAGAGGTAATTTACTTATTCAGAAGACCTCACGCTCACAATCAAATTCAATCTGACGAAATAAATTCAAGACAAAACACTCAAAAGGATCGAAAAAAACATACTCCTATACTTCGGGAAGCAAATACAACACAATAGACCAGTCAGTTGCGGCTGGGGCGAGATTTGAGACGATAGCCGATTGGGGGGGCTCACACCACATCACACCATCAGCAATGCCGTAACATCGGTGTGGCGAGAGGACGGCGCCGAAGTCGTGCTAGTCACTCGAACAACGAACGCGCGCTCACCCACACGCAACATCTAATAATCCTTCGCACAAAGCTGCCCTAGCGCGAGGCACACACACAAACACGGCCGTGCTTGCCCCCCCCCCCTGAAGAACAACAGTCATAACGGCTGCTTGCTTCGGCCACCCTGCTGAATTTCCATCTTCCAGGGATTCGCACCGTAAAAGACTGCACCGCCCGGCAATAAGACACGAAAAAATGGCCAACCTGCTGTAGTACCGCAACCGCTCACGACATGCGCGCGCACAATCCCCGCATAGAGTCCAGAAGGCTTGAATGAACCAGGGTCTGCTTCGGGGAATGAGGTATTCAACGCATACTACACAGCAGCAGGCCACAACCATTCAACCAAGAAAAGCGCGAGGGGAAAAATGCAAGGTAATGACCTGGCAGACTACCAGAATGAAGAGCATCGCTGCAATGAGCAAAAGCTGCCCATGAAGCGCGGCAATTTCGTTACACCCGTTCTCTTGCCCGCGAGAAATCTACCGCAAGAGGCGCGATCACGTCTTTATAACGCTGAGGAAAGGGCCGATTAGAATACATGAACGTCAAAGGAACCCCCCATCTTCCCTAGAACTATGTAGGCAAACGCATGGTACAAGAGCAAGCTCAAGCGCGACGATATTCGCGCAGTCATGAAAGCTCGTTGAACATACGTACGCATCACACAGACAGACGTGGAATTTCGCGAAAACGCGGTCCGTGTTCTCGGCTGAGGCGTACCACGGACAATAAAATGACACGCACACACCTCAAATGCACCGCTTACAAGAAAAGGCACAACATTAAATCTTCTCCTGTACTATTACCGGAAGAACAAAGTACCAACCCCCCCTCCTATTCTACGGAATCGGGTACAACCAACAGGTAGGTCCGTCCACCCGTTTCCACGTAGTTACTTTACCTATACTACCTATTACACAACAGACTGCGGCCGTGGCAGCAGGCCATCATCAAGCCTGCTCTGCAGTGGAAGTTGGGTTGTTGCATCCATCCTAATTCCTTCCTCACTAGAGAGAGGTTGTAGCGGGGTCAATCACCACAGCCACCGAATACATGCCCAAAGCTGTTTCGATAGACCGGTCAGCCGGGTGTATAGGAAGAACTTTAGACAAGCCGTTGGCCGTTCCGAGGGCTGCAGCCAAGCGAATTAACCTAATTAGGCATCCTCGCCGGCTCTGCCGGACCACCTGTAGAACAACGATTTACAGCAGCAGCAGCAGCAGCAGCAGCAGCAGCAGCAGCAGCAGCAGCAACAGCAAAGCACAAGACAGGTGAGCAAGGAAAGACGACGGCGAGCTGTATACCACAGATTTGAAATCTGTTATTTTGATTCGAAGTGGTACGCTGGGTTCTCCGTGTCCAAACGCATCAGCTGTGTGGGCTGTTAGAGCTTGGACAACGTCACAGCCGGCAGTTAGCTGTCCGAGATTTCTTTTTCATCTGGCACCACCCAATGGGGTTGGTCCAGACAAAAATGGTCAGTTTTTCTTTTGCCTTGGGGCCCTTTCGCAACGGGACTGCTGAATACAGCGAAGCGTAGGATGTGGTTGTTTGTAATACGACGCCCCTCCCTCCGGCGCAGTGAGGCCCACGCAATACTTATAACCTGATCTCCATAGCGGGGAGAGACCCAACTTTCTTGACAAACAGAAACCCGATCCGTGAGCACATCCAGCCAACAAAACAATCCCGGAATATAACAGGGCGAGCATGAAATTCACTTCGTGCGTCACAGGTCACAGGTCATCAGCGTAACTATGGAAGACATCCAACACAGCTAGCTTTCTTACTGTAAGCGCAGCTTCATTGCCCCCTTCGCCTTTTCTCCGCCAAACTCCCACTTCCCGTCCAGCTTGTCGCCGTTGGCCATGACTTCGGCCACGTAAATCTGCAAGCAGAACGGAGAGGACCGAACATGGTTAACGACACCTAAGTTCACAGGAGCGTGTGCGTGCGCACAGCAACCATGTAAGTAGACCCCCCGACGCAAATATCCGGCACATACAAAACGCGCGCGTGCAAACATAGGGTGAGAGCACGCAGAAAGTGGCACCGCAGGATATGCACGACCGCAATACAACACGAACAATGACAACAGCCACAGTTCGGTGTCCACAGCTAGTGAGCACGTCACTCGCAGCGTCCACCCAAGGAACGACGACGACAACAAAAAAAAAAAACACAAAACCAATGCTGTACCTTGAACGACCCGAGGCACTTGTCGCTGCCGATCGTCTCCCTCTCCTTGAGGAGGAATTCCACCACGGCCGACTTGGCCCCCCGGATGAGGAAGTTGAACACCTCCGGGCAGGCGAACTCCGCCATGTCCTCCACGACGGCAGTCTTGCGCTTCATGTTGCCGCAGATGACGGACACGTACCGTTCCCCTGGCTCGACCCCCCTGACGAGAGCGCAACCACAAAGACAGCCACGTGTGAACGAAAAAAAAGAAAAGTTGGACAGGCACAAAACCGAGATACCTCTACAGCAGCGGCGTACTTAACCGTCAAACGGCACGCACCACACAAGGATAGTTCCCTGATGCAGGCGTGCCGTTCTTAACACAACTGCTAGTGCAGTTTTTTTTTCGCGAATAGTCTTACAGTTTTCATGCACACAATATCTTTATGTACACGGTACGGTCAGCTGAAAGTAACACGGGGCCGGGCGCGGCGTTCTCTCCCCATTGCGTCATTGAACCAATGCCACGCCGCCTGACATCACATCACCCATTGTCACAAGGGCCACAAGGCGATACCAAGACAAACACGGGCGCCACCGGCAAAACACGTGCTACACCACTCACGCGACCATCCACATCAATCTGCCCGCATCGCAGGCATCACAACAAACCAGCGCAACAACGCAAAACAAGAAATCGGTCGCTCTCGCTCTCGCTCACGCTTTGAACGCACGTTACTTCCATCCCCATGACGGTGATGACGCCCATGCTCGTGTCAGACGGGGTAACGGCGTGCGGCGTGAGGGTGCTGGGGTCCACCGCGGGGCCCGCCTTGTGGGTCACGGCGGCGGCCTTGATCGGCTGGCCGTCCGCCGATAGGTTCTTGTAGGAGTCGGCCGCCACGATGTCGTCCGTGATGTCGTCGGAGGCCACGTTAACGATAACGTCCTCGTCGATGGGGGCCGTCCGCGTCTTTCCGCTAGACAGGGGCACGAACCTGGTGATCCATCCCCGCACGAGCGAGCGCAACCGAACAAAAAAAAGAAGAAAAGTGTGGATATGTCGCGAACAGGCAGTCTCTCTGTGTTTGTATGTGGCGTATTTTCTGAAAAATGAACAACAGCACCTGGAGGAAGAGACAGGCACATTGACCGTCAATTTCTTCCCGCTAAACAGGAGCACGAGCCTGGTGGTCCCCGCACGAGCGAGCGCAACGAGCAACAAACAAAAGCTTTTAACAAAAGCACTAAGAGAAGAGATGGGCCATCGACTGACAACCTTTTGGTGCCCACGCAACAAAAACAAACAAAGCGCGAGCGGGAGACATGTGGCATTCACTCACGGTCTTGATACAGGCTACAATGGAAGCTTCATTGGTCAGCCTCCGTGTCGCGGTCGATCCTTTCTCAAGAAACACAACACACACCAAACACAACGCCCAAACTGTTGTACTAAGTAGATAGGCTCTGCACATGAGAATACTACACCATAAAAGCGAAGCCCTCCATGACACATTGCCCCGCATCGAAGCCACCTCTATCGACAAGGCGAGATCGTATCAAAGGTGGTCGCACAAACATGCTTGCGGAAAACAACACGCGCGCACGGAAACAGATGACGACAACAACAGCGGCAGCAAGTGGTGTTTACCCTCCGTACGATAAAAGGAAACCAATCATATCTACATATCCTAAAATCCTCCTCACATGGCCTTGAGGAGCAGACTCCCGGTTGTTGTATTGGAGAGGGGGATGTTGTGGGCGCTCTCGACGTCCGCCATGAGCACGGACAGCGGCAGCTCGCAGCCGCCGAGTTCGTCATCGTCCCCAGGTCCGTTATCCCTGTCGAACACGGTGAAGTTGATCACCTACACGTACGATACGTAACGAGGAGACGCGCAATCGCGGTCAGTGTTTTGTTTGTTTCTCCCTGTCAGGAGGTGCAGACAAGGGAGAGAGAAGGGCCTCAGGTGCAAAATCGCCACGTTCCGGGACGAACAGAATCCAAGCAGTAGCGTTCGGATGCCCCCCACCCCCATCCCTCACTTGACCGGGAGGCCTTGCAGATGAACTATTTCATGTTCCCGTTAGCGAGCGTGTTCCTCACCGTCACCCTCGATCAACCCTTTTGTTTCGTCGTGTACACCCCTGCCTAGCGCTCAAGGAATGTGGAAACGTCTAAACATTGAGTATCCCCCCCCCTCCCACTTCACGATATTTCCAGAGTCTCACCTCCACTGAGCGCTCGTAAACGAGTAGATCGAAGGTCTCGTCGAAACGGGGGTTGAGGGTCCGGCTCTTCACGTCGGTCTTCATCTCCTGGCCACGGCCCAGCTTCACGCATACGTACGGATCGGACTTGCCTGTGGCGATTGAGGTGGGGGGGGATGAAGGACGAGAGAGTCAACCAAGGACAAAACGACAGGGCCAACTATGTCGGCTGGATGTCAACAACGAAATCATCATCAACGACATCAACATCATCAACAACAACAAAAACAGCAACAACAACAACAACAACAACAGCAACAACAACAACAACAACAACAACAACAACAACAACAACAACAACAACAACAACAACAACAACAACAGCAGCAGCAGCAGCAGTCAACCACAACTCACCGCCGATGTCGGCCGCGAGCAGCTTGTCGCACCCCACGATCGTGAGCTGCACCACTCCCGTCGGGGTTGGGTTTGACAATCCCTGTAGGAAGAGGCGAGCGTGCACGAGAAGACGCAACAAAAAAACACTTGAGAATTGCGTCATATTTGGGTCTTCGCCCCGGTACGTGTTTGGCGTGCACTTGGTCATGCACAACTCTTCCGGCTAGAACATCGACATCAACAGCCCATTTTCAATAAAGATCCGTTTGTTGCCCCCTCCCCCCCGTGTATGTGCTACCACATTTGTTGTTCTTTCGGGGTACCCCCTCGCACGCTCTGCCATTTGTCCCAAGGTTGGCGACTACCGGTAAGGACGACAAAACGAGAGAGAGAAACCAAAGCAAACAAGGAACAACCACTGACCAACACACACACGCGCGCGCGCGCACTCTCGGCGAAACCATAAATCAATCAACCAAATCAAATCCGATCCGACTCACGGCGATGTCGAGGATTTCAACCACCAACACACACAATCAAGAAAAACCGTGCACGCACTCGGCGCAACCACCATCGAATCGAATCAACCAAAATCGACAATCAATCAACCAATCAAATCAAATCGGACCGTACTCACGACGATGTCCTGATTGTCGAGGATGGGGACCACCAGCTTGACGGGGAAAACCATGAGGCCGGCCACGATGTTCTTGATATGTTCGCTCACCAAAGCGCCGACGTTCATGTCGCCCGGACCAATGCTCATGACCTGTCGCCGCCGCCACGCACATCAGTACGCATGCACGCGCCGTGTTTCTCGTGGCCAAGGGAGCGTGACCTCACGCACGTGTGCTTACCCAACAATCTAGCACGTCGTACTTACATCGTCCCCGTCTAATCCCATCGCTTGCTGGTATTTGCTACTGTACTGCTGTACCAATCGCAGGAAAAAAAAAAGTCCTCGACCACGGAATGATCCACCAAAAACATGCTTCATGTTTGTGGTCGTGGTGATATCTGAATCTCACGTTGAGCTTGCCGAGCTTGAAGCTTAAGTCGATGAATGGCTTCTCCATGAACGTCAGCCCGACTGCACGCAAGACGGACAACGGGGGGAGGTACATGTAGGGGGTGGGTGGGTATGCAAGGAAGTCGGGAGGGAGGAGTCGGTCGATGGGATCGGGTAGACTCTGTCATCACCATCATCATCTACTACCACACTGTATCATCGCAGGCTTCGTGCTCCGAGGATGGGAAGAGTAGACATGCACTGCACACTGCACGCACCGTATGCCAAGTCCAAGACTGACGTATTCTCTGTCGCCAGCGGGAATTGGATAGGATATGACATATCAGATGGTAACCAACAATTCACACAAACACACGCACGCAGACACGCAGGAACGCAGAGGTGTTCTCCGTTCTTGGCCGCACTGAGACTGACATACTTGCATTGTTCAGCCGGTCACCGCAGTCGATGTTAAAAAAAACGCCCACACCTGACCAGAGAGTGTGCTGGCGTTTTTTCTTCCCGCCAGAATACTGACGTGATTGGTCAGGCCGTTAGCGCGACCGATGCCAACGAAAGAATCCCACAACCACACACGCACACACGTGACACCCCCTCACGGGGTCCCAGATAATGGCCAATAGAATAATTTACTGTTTTCAACCACGACGGCTTTTCATTGGTCAGAACTTGTTAGCGCGGTCGATCCTGACATATACACACAAACACAAACTCCCCCGTGCTGCCTCCTCAGGGGGTCCCAGTTCATGGCAGATAGAAGTGTTTTTTATTTTCAACCGCACCAAGACTGATGCTTTTCACTGGTCAGCCGTTTAGCGCGGTCGATGCTAATAATAAAGACACCTGCCCCGAAGCAGGGGAAGACCGGCACGAGAGGAGCGAGCTCCACCCTCATCCTCCCGGAGAAGCAAATCTTGTTGAGGGTGATGAGGAGCGGGACGGGCTTGACGCCCGCCTCCAGCATGAACTCCGCGTTCCCGGCCCAACGGAGGTCGATGTCGATCACGGCCTTGTCGTCCTTCATCTCCAACGCGCGGATGCCGACGACCTGAAAGCCCCCCCCCCCCAAAAAAGCAAAAAAGCGTGTGTCCCCCCACGCCGAACGGAAACAACGCACAAGTAAGATCAGGTGATGGCGGTTTTACCACATTGCAAGGCGTGTTTTGTGGTAGCATAAGTACTATAGACGCTGTGGGAGGATCTACTTTGCGCGAGGAAAAAAATTTAACAATTTTTGAGAAAAAGATCAAACCAAGTGTGGGCAGCCAAAGTGGTGGGGATACTGTAGTAGCTAAGCAGCGGGCTAGAGTCCGGAGCACGAGAATTGACAGGGCAGTTAGGGATACCGCGGTGTTACTGCAGCAGACAACGCCGGAGATGGAACGAGCTGCGTCTGCTCTTGGTCCATGGCGCTGCCGTGTTGCACGATGGCCTGCTGTTTTGTGGGATTGTGTCGTGCGTGTGAACGGAGAGCGCCCCACAGGAGCCTCACGCAGAGGTGCCACCATCACCACTGCAACAACAACGAGTGATACGCGCGTGTTGTGTACAGGCAGCAGGCTCCACCCCCAGACACACCACGACAAGGAACACCAGCACAACCCGTACCTTGGGAGGGATGGTGCCGAGCGAGACCTTCTTGAAGCCGAGGGCGCTGATCCCCGGCGGGCGGTAGCTGTCCAGGATAGGCTGGATCGTCGTCGCGAACAAGTCCTGGGTGGCCGTAGACGCCGATACCCACATCTGACCACGCCAACAGACCGCCGCCAAGATAGAGCAAATAAACGCGACCGCAGGCAGCAGAGGGTTAGGGTAATGAGGCAAGGTCGGAGCAAACGGGCAGGACGACGGAGGGGCCGGCAGGCAGGGTGCTACCTAAGGTACATGCATAGTCTACGCCGTTGCAAAGGCGAGAGCGTCGGCGGTGAGGTCCGTCAATCGCCGGAGCTTCCATCATTTGGCCATGCCCACTCGGTGGCAACAACAGCAGCAGCATCACCAGGAAAAAATCGCAAACCTTCCGCCGACTGACTGTCTATGCTGCACATCTTTTCGCGTCTCCCGAAACCCACACCTTGTCGAGCATCTTGTTCAGCCACTCCACCCGCTCCACCTCCGAATCGGTGTACCAACGAGGCAAGAACCCGGTCACCATCTCCAATACCTGCAGCATGCACATTCAACCGCGCGGCAGCAAGTCAAAGTCTACCTTGTGGCGAGTGTGGTAGATGACGTAATAGGCGTTTCGGGAGGAGAAAGAAAAAAAACTCCTTAATCGAGACCATGGCATGTTGTCGCGGGAAAGCGTGAAGTACGTGGTACGCTTGAAGTGAAGCGTGTGGTGGGTGCATGCAGAGAGAGGTTTGGCTTTGGGGCAAGGCTACTACCGCTGTGAACCCTAACGAGTGAAGCGTGTTGATGCATGCAGAAAAATTGGGCTCCACTTGCAGAAAGGGTACAGTACAGTACTGCTAGCCGACCGCAGCGTGCATTGTTGATGCTCCTTTGTTGGTTGATGCAGCAGTTCAGTTGTTTCACCATCCGCTCAACAAGTAGTGCTTCGGACATACGCTTACCACAAAACGAAATCCCAAGCGGTAAGGAGTCATCTCTACAGACCACCAGGAACAATCGATTCGTCGACTGACTCACTGCGCCCGATGATCACAACGAAAAACTCGCTTGTCTGTACCATAAGTCCTTACTACATACTAATAGTACAAAATGGTATATGCGTTCTGAACCAACAAAAAAGCAGCGCTAGTATTATATTGGTGTACACAAGAAAACACAAAACTCGAACCATCATATGTTCAAAGCTGAGAAGCATCATTTTGCGCACATGAAGAAAAAAACTCTTAAAATAAACACTTATCACAAATTCACACACGAACATCGCCAAGAAACCAAAACTGATTCGTGGCTGCCGGCTGCTCCGCTGACCGACCTTGGGGTCCTTAACCACGCCAAGGGCCAAGGCCTTGTCCGACAGGTCCTTCTGGTGCTGCAGGTAGCTCACGAACACAAACGCGATGGGTAACACCCAGAAGGCGCTCCACTTGAACCTGAGACAACCGACAGTGGCGGCGGCGGCGGCGGCAATGCCCCGACCAGCGGGCCGGGGGATACGCCACAACAGTCCGACAGGTGTTTACTTCGGATGGGGACCGCGAAGGTCAGAACAAAAATACGAAACAGTCGGGTTTTTACATAGAAAAAAAAAAAAACAGAAGAAAAACAGCTACCCAGTCCAGCAGGACAGGATGACACCGTCCGCGTGCCGAAAAAGGGCCTGTTCATCGACGTAGTGCCATCGAACACTACACGAATGAGTTCCATCTCCATCAGGCGGAATGATATCGATCCGCGTTTTCACGCCTCTTTTATGAATACGAAGGAAAGAAAGGGACTGCTCTGTCTCGAGAGGGATGCCTCGACACGACTTGTCATCGTTGGCGCGTGCTGACGTTTTCCTCTCAAACCAGTGGTGTCTACCTAGAGTAGGAGGTCCACCTATTGCACAACAGTAGAACACAACAAAATGTAAAACACCATAGGGACAGAACAAAACGAGGAAAAAAGTGCTGACCACCGTGGGATTCGAACCCACGAGTACGAATACATGACGACCTGAACGCCACCCGATAGACCACTCCGGCAGATGGTCATTAATACAGTGACGTAAGAACCGCCGATGTAAGGAAAACACAGACAAACACGGTCTCCAGCACTTCACGTTTTTAACCGCACGAAGACTGACGTCATTTCATTGGCCAGCCGGCAAGAGCGGCCCATGCTAAAAACATATAACACACACACCTGCCCCGTGCTACAATCTCCCATGTAAAAAGAAACACCACAAGCACGAGCGTGCTCGGCGCTGTTCTGGAGGAACTCTTGCTATTAGTTACCATCATTTTCCACGAAAAAAACAAAACCCGAGCGCGCTTGGGCGTTGTCCCTCGACGACTCTCTCACCAGGCGGCAATGAACGGCAGGAAAGCGAGCGGCATGTACCACTTCGGCCCGAACTTCCACACGTCGTGCGTCGCGTTGAGCTCCTTGAGCCTGTCGGCCGGGGTGGACGGCGCCATTGGAAAGCCTCCCGCCGATCGCTCGGACTCCTGGTGGAACGAACGAAAGCACGTTACCGCGCCGCGCGTGGGTGTGCACGAACAGCAGCATCGAGAAAACGATAAGCCATGCAGTAGGTGCCGGTTGTGTGCATGCGACATGCGATTCAGCGGATTCGGCACGCGGGTATACACACTGGTCTGAGAGCTGGTCTTGTATGCCGGGATAAGGGTGTCCCCTGACTTTCACAACCTGTGGCAACAACACCCCGACGGTACATCTCCAACAGGTCAAAATCTGACGACACAATCTGAGGTGCCATGTCACATGTGATATTTTTCCGGTTTTGGGGAGGACATCGAAAAAAAACAGCAAGCAGCAGCAGCAGCAGCAGCAGCAGCAGCATCAACAGTCGTCGTACCGGAAGCCCGCTAGCACGCCGGCGGAACTCCTTGCGCTCCTCCCTCTGCTGGACGGCCATCACCAGCTGGGCCTCCCGGACAACCCGGGGTACCTTGTCTATCAGACCCGAGGATACCGCTTTGAGCAGGAACAGCACGTGCTCTCCCGCCACCACCAGAACGACCTTGAAAACAGGACATCGGGCGGAGAAGAACGATGATCAGCGATCGGTCGGTTGGCCCGTAGAAAGAATTCCGGCAACCACAGCGGGTTGCGACGTCGCAGATGCACGAGGAACGACAGGGGCGTAACGTCGTCAACAACCACGCCAAAAAAAAACGGTAGCCCGTACCACACGGAAAACACGCATACACCGCTCGCATACTTCCGCGCGGACATTTGCAGAAAAACAGAAAATAAAAGTAGAGATTGGCCGACCCCGGCTTTGACCAGGGCAAATCGGCCAGTGAAAAGGCACACACGCATGGTGGCTGCCCCCGGCTTTCACCTGGGCAAATAGATCGCCCAGCGAAAACGAAAATGCACTACCACCACCATCGTCGTGTCTGAAGCGCAAGTGTCACCTTTGCTTCGAAGCTGCCCAGCTGCTCAGCCATGGACGAGGGGACGTACATGTCTACGTTCTTCGACACCAGCACCGCCAGCAGCAGGTTTGTGAGGCACGCCACGACTCCGACCATCTCCAGGCACAGCTCCCAGGCCCCGATGGAGGACTCGGCGTGCGTCTGAGGGTCCAGGAGGCGTTCCGCATGCCTTGGCATCTTAGACCGTTGTCTCGAGAGGAAGGAGCATTTTTGCGAAACCCACGTACGACTGTACGGTCGACCTGACAGTTCTTTCACGAGGGAGGGAGACTCGCCGTTCCTGCTCTCCGTGTAGAAAAACTACGTCCATCCACGCTTTGGGCGGCTCTTCTCTACGTGCGGACCCGTGATACCTCACGCGGAAAAGATATTGACTACTTCCATCAGGTCAGCTCATTCATCCGTTTGGTCTTCCTCGCAGCGTCGCATGAGACAGTAGAGGCAATCGAGAAAAACAGACCACGAACACGGTCGGTCCAGTTGTTAGGTTACCCTGTTGGCCTACTTTTGATGCAACCACCATGACGCAAAGTCCCCTCTCGCTTACCTTGGGACGTCTCGTCTTCACGAGCTGGCTGAGATCGAGCTTGAACTCCCAGATGTTGTTCATGTAGGCGAACAAGGGGGCCAGCGGGAAGACCACAGCAAACATGGACACATACCCGAACTGCAGCACCTGTTTTAATGTTTCCGGTCCGCGAAGCAAAGCATCACCAGATCGATACCAAGGGTCAGGGTCACGATATGAGAGAGAGGCCGAGAGGCCGAGCGACCATTATTACCGCATGTACGCAGCAGTTAAAGGCTTGTTGGCCCGGCCTTTTGAGTACGGCGGTTCCCTCGCACAACGAGGACATTGACAAAAAATAGTGTTTACAACAACAAACCAACGGCATCGGCCTGATCTTTGGGACGCACAGCAGTGGTCGATTCTGCACCAAGAGACAAAGACAGACAGATCAGAGGGCCAGAGATGCCTCTGGCGCAGTCGCCGCCGGTCACTCGTGGCAAACACGACTAATAGTCCGGCCGTTTCTTGATGCTACCAGTCTTGCTGACCGGGCCGCACAGGAGCGAGAGGGGGGCGAAGCTTTGGGGGGCAGGAGACTTGCAAAAAGCACACACTACGACGGAACAGACCTGTGCTTGGGAATCGACGACGGATTGTGGCATCACCACAGACAAGAAAAAAAAGGAAAGGAAAGGAAAGGAAGCAAACACACACCATTTCCAGGTAGTCCTCCTCCACATCAGCCATCTCCGTCTTCGTCTCCTCGAACAGTTCCTCCGGGCTAATCGTTCCGGTGTGCTTCACCAGCATCACAGGGTCCTTAGGAGGCTGGTGCCAAGGCGCAATAAACCGGGGGGAGATCGATCGGCGTCGAAATCGATATTTCGTGTGTGTTGTGTTGTGTTGTGTTGATCTTTAACTTCAATCTTGGGGAGACAATACAATATATATGAAGGCGCTCGCGGTCGACACGAAAGCCTGCTCGAAAAGGCCGGAGAGCACTGCAGCAGCAAACCGTCGTGGTGTCCAAAAGCGCGTGAGATCGTGGCGTTAGAGAGGCAGCTCCCGAGGCAAGCATTGTGCCGAAATCAGGAGAAGCTACTTCGCCAGACACTCACAGCGAGCACCAAAACCATCACACTTTGTTCCGTCGGCGAAACCAACCGGACGAGAAAAGAAACGCACACAAGATGGCCGACAGCATGAGAATACTAACGGACAAAGAAGTTCGCGCAGACCCAACGAGGAGCGAGGAGTTAGATTTCTTCAAAGGGACAGCTCGGGCACAGGTGCACCTACCCATGCGTGAAGGAGGACTAGGAATCACGAGCAATGTTCTCATTCGAGAATCGGCGTTTGTGGCAGGGCAAGCGCTGGTGTTCTCCAAGTCAGTGCAAGCATCGACAGGATACACAGATGAGCAATGTCTACCCCGGCTTGCCCAGCTACCGACAGGATTGGCTCTGATTGACTCACTCAAGAAGCTAGAGGAGATCATCACTAAAGACAAGCTTGAAAAAGCTGTTGGGCAGTCATGGGCTAAACTTGCCACAAGTGATGAGTTAACCCCCGCCCTCAAAAGAGTTTACCTGTTGGAAGCAGGGAAGGCAGGAAAACCCAGTGAAGATGGAAACCCTGACGTACAACATCAACCACCGTCTTGTTGTTGTTGTTGTTGTTGTTGTGTTCACTATAAAAACCGTTCCAATCTCTCTCTACTCAGTACCTTCGTATGTCCGTACTGATCCAACACTCGACGCGGTCGATTCCCGTGGTCACAGGTTAACTTACCCTAAAGTACGCTCAAATAAACTGGCCCCGAGGGGTCCGCGAGTCAACAGAAATCAACGACAGATATTTGGGAGTCCTCCACTCCCTCTGCGCGCTATGCGAGGTAAAAACTGAGACTAGGAGTCACCATCACAGGCAGGAGAGAAAGAGGTACATCCCCTTGGTCCAATGTTGGTACTTCACAACGCAATCCGAGACAAGGCCATCTGGCACAGAAAAATAGAGAAAAATGAGAGAGAGGAAAAGAAAACAGAGCAAAAAGAGAAGAAAATACAAGGGAATAGTAAAGAGAAAACAAAATGAAAAACAGCGAGGACAAAAAGGGACCAGGCCGAAAATAACAAGAAACAAGAGACAGAAAAAGGCACAAGGTGGAGAGACCACTAACGACAAGCAAACACGCAAACATGGCCACCAACCAGCGATACACTGTAATGGTACGTCATCACTAGTGGGGGGTTGGTGCAATGGTGCAGCGTTGGGCGGGGGGAATTGGCCAAAATAAATTCAATCCGGCACGTATCGCGCCACTCGGTCTGTCTATTCTCGTTTGCTTTCTTCCCCCGCCGTCTCGTCCGTCTCCTGCCCGCCTTCCGCCCCATTGGGTGTTGGTTTGTGGTTTCGTTTGAGCGCCCGTTGTCGGCTGGCCTCTTCTTCCTTCTCGTGCCAGGAGGTCATGAACCTCTCAGCTCCCTGCAGCACCGCCGCATGCCAGGGTACTCCCCCCTCCACCTTCGCGGCTTTACTTTCGGTGCTGTGTCTTTCGGTACCGGGATTCCAAGACAACATGGATCGGTTTTCGTAGATCCGTGGTCGGCCCCGAATGCCTTCAGGTCGT